CATGCTTGTGGAAGGCAGACTCTGAAGGCAATTTAAACCATTCATAGACGGGTTTTCGACCCTGCCTGTCAGGGCCAGTCCAGGCTAAGGAGGGGTACATCATCCCAGCAGAAAGGCCGAGATACTCAATAAAAATTTCACCCTACTCGGAAATTGAACTCGTATCTGTACGTGCGACAGCGAAGCGCCTAACCACACAACACAGACTCCGAGTTCTTTATTGGTCTAGCCAATAATAAACTCAGGTGACAGTTAACAATATTAGTGTCTTAGACAGCAGCTCTCATGTCGTCAGTATTATTTGGCCATCTCTCTCCTTTTCATTGATGTCATAATTGAGCTTGCAGTCACATGTGAAAAAGAAATTATATTCTATTTGAAGTTGCTATGTTCACATTGGATCTTAAATTGTACGCAATAAAACAACAACAAAAATAGATATGTCACATAATTTGATTTTTCAATGTCACAAAACTTCACCAATGTTAGATTTGCTCTCGCTGTGTGTCATTTGAACTTACTATGTGTTCACATTTGGATTATTATTATTACTATTACTATTACTATTACTATTATTATTATTATTATTATTATTATTATTATTATTATTATTATTATTATTATTGACAGGGAGAATGTTTTGTTCTTACCTGAGAAAACGCCAATTTTAATTGAAAGTTTCGCCAAAAGAGCACTTACGTGCATTCCCTGCAGATTATGGTCTCTTAATCTAAAGATGCTATAAAACCATACGACATCCCATTTTAAACCTCAGCTCTCCCCAGCTTGACGATTATGATTTAGTTTGGTCTTCAGTCACAAATGTTGATTTTATTGAACTATATTCTCTAATAGCATTTCTAGCGATTCGGATCTCATTTTCAATGATTTCCTGATTTAAACTTCGATAACTTCGCAAATGGACGAACAATTTCAACTTTGTCTACACTTCTGCTAGGGACAGGTATTCTGTACAAATTGTGAAAGCTTCAACTATCCGTCGTTTTTCTGTGATTCTTTATTTCCTTTTTTAAAGAAAGACATAGGTGTCTTTTTTTCGTTTTTCACAAGATTTAGTTTTTTAAAAATCTAGAATCTCTCTAAAACGAACTTCATACAAAGCAGTCATATACCCTTAACTTGCATGCACTGTCCTGAACTGGTGGAGGGAAAACACTCGCTTTTAAAGAAAACGGAAATTTTTTGAGTGTGTTGACTTTATGCGCGATATTCTTCAAAGATAATTTGGTGTCATCATGAAGGAGGAGAAGTGGAAAATTTACTCATCTACGCTGTGATACTCTTGTGTAGACAAAATGAGAATATAATATTAAGAAGCGGTTCTAAAAGTTCGGGAATTTGCACAAAGCAGAATCTATCTTTAGACAAATTATTGTGCAGCCATGGAAAGCTGTCTAGTTTGTTAAAATACATGCATACAATATTAGGGATGGGTAGCAGGAACGCAGGCCAAAAACAACAGAAAAATCTAGGACAAGACAGTTTCATAATCAACAACAACAAACAGTAGACCCGCCACTAGGATAATATATTCAGCTTTTTTCATGACAGAGTAGTCAATTAAAACACAACGCGACATACAAACACATCGTATTTTCAGACATCTCTTCCTTATTGAGTAGTTTCTCTCAAGAAACACAGACTGCGCATAATGAGTCTCAGGGCTGCCCACAGACCACCAACATATGCTTTAGTAATCAGCAAATAAATACCCCCCAAAAAATAGGAACTGGGCTAAAAAATATTCGTAATTTGGCAATGGACAGACTTTTCCTGTGGGATGTCGAGGAATGTAAATTTCAGATTAATGGATGAATGTGACGTACACAAAGGCGTGTTGAAAAAGATCTTGGAGGGTTCGTCTTTTGCAGGGAGCAAGGGGGGGGGGGGGGGGGCGGTTGGTGTAGTTATGGGCTGTGAGCCTGGAATTTTTTTTTAACAAAAGAAACGGAGCGAACAATTTTTGATCCGGAATGGTAACACATACCTTGCGTCATAGTTAATCAGTATGTAGTCTCAAATGTCAATCAATGTTCCTTTGACTCTTTTTTTACATTCTCTCACTGGCCTAGGCCGTCTCCCACAACGCAAAAGCAGGAAATTGTAAACGTCTTGTCAAGCTAATGTTTTCTTAAGACTAATCCTAACGGCAAAGGGCAAAGCCACACTGAGCGACTGCAAAGTCCTTGTGCACGATTCACAGAGGTCGTTGGCGTAAAAAAAATATATCTTGACACGTTGTTTTAACGTAGAGTGGTTGATAGGGGCGTTAAACCGATACCATTAATTACCATTTTGACGTTGAGTGTAGGGGTCGGATTGATTTTCTTTCTTATAATACAAAAGGTTGGGATTGGGTCGCGGTAACCGAACGGCACAAAACATTTATGAAAAATCGGAATTAATAGTGCTATGATCGTATTTTCGTAAAATTGAGAAAATATCGTGACGATTCCTCCAAATTCGTAATGGTGGGCAGTCCTGGGGTCGATCGAGCCAAGCAGCGCTGTGCTGACTGCTCCATCTATTGCAACATCCACGCCATCCAAAGGTTACAAAATACACCACTTCAACAGCATTCAAACAACACAGGCAGTCTATTCACTCAGTCATCACAACTATCCCCAACAAGACGTCTCACAAGAAAATAAAAGAAAAGACCCAGGGCTCGTTAGGCAAGAAGGCAACTGATATATTCCCTCTCAAATGTGATTGAATGCAAAACGTGAGGACATGACAACCCAATAAATTATTTACTGGGAAAATTAATCAATAAATCAAGAAAACAAGCATTGGTACCAACGGATTCCACTAAAAGAACGCGCAGACACTTACTAGATATTAGCATCAGGACCAGCATAGCAATACATTTCAAGACAGTTGGGTAACTCATCATCAGGCATAGGAACTAGAAACTAAGAACTGAAAAGCGCCCATAACCGTTCTCGACTGACTAATCAATAGCAATGTTTTCCATTATTGTGACGGTACAGTTTCATGTATGTATTTTTTTTCGTGCAGTCACTGTGATACCAGTCACAGTGCCGCTTTGTGTTATCGCATGAGTGTGTGTGAGTATGTGTGTGTGTGTGTGTGTGCGTGTGTGTGTGTGTGTGTGTACGTGTGTGTGTGTGTGTGTGTGAGTGTGTGTGTGTGTGTGTGTGTGTGTGTGTGTGTGTGTGTGTGTGTGCGGCGTGCATGTGTGTCGCTGGACAACTGGTAAACCAAGCAGAGGCTGCAAAAACTCAATTGAAGGCGCAATATCTTTGCTTTGGGGAATGTTGTAAAGATGTGGTCAAAGATTTTTTGAAAGTTTACCTAATTTCTGAACTGATTTCTTAAAATAATCAAATTCATTGGTCGGGATCCTGCTAAAATTTAAGGAAATAGACCTACATGTATTCATGACCATCTTTCAAATTTCATCTTCTTTTCTTTCCCAGTTTTCTCTGTAAAAAGTTATTTTTAATCTGTCTCAAAAGTACGTCAAATGACACAAAGCATAATAATTATGGTTTGATGCTCAGACGATGCAGTAGTTTGAGCATGGTCACGAGGTAAACAAAGCTAACATTTCATTTTCATCGCGAACCTGTCAGTCCTTGGTCGCGGCTGGTTCGGCGGATTATGCAGCTGAACGCCAAGGTTGCTGCAGGGTGTCGGTGGAACTAAAGTATTCCTTCTAACAGCCATGATGTATGGGTGTGATTTTAAAAGAAAAATTGTTTTTAAAAAAAAATAAATATGTGAGCAATTTCAGTGCATGGTACATTTTGCTGTGTCATGTTAATTTTGAAACGTGGATTGATTATATTTTGTTTCTTTTCTGAAAGAGGGACCTAATTTGTGCAACGTTCCTCTCGAAAATTTTACAGCAGTACTACTGTATTATGTTACTGTAAACTCTCAGGTTCCAAAAATAGATCTTTTGCAATCCAAGGCTGTGTGTACTGAAGATGTTTGGTGTTCAATATCCCCCTTCAAAGATAATATTTGAACTGTGTTTTCCTTCATTAAAAAAAAAAGGAAGAGGTGCGAAATTCATCTTCAGTTCTGGTTATTTATTTTTCTTTTTATCTCTCATTTTCAGGAGATGTTTTGGGCTCTATATCCCCAGAATCTCTCTCCTACGATTAAAAATCTATTTTGATGGGGAATTTAAAATAAAATATTTGCCTTGCTTTTAAAAGCGGAAGCTCTTTTATAGTTTAGGGTTCTATCTTTGTCCTCAAACGGCTCATATGTTGAGTTCACCCTGAGAGTGTCTATTAATGTCCAATTAGGATGTCCTCTCAGCCCAGCATGGAAGAAAAAAACCCCCAAACAAACAAAACTACACCCTGCTTGTATAATAGTTTGCGGTATTGTGGTGTCATGCCTTTTGTGACAAGTTCCATCTTGTGAATCTCTTTATGGTTGTGTTGAGCTGTATATGACGGGTACTAAACCTCCCATAAACAAAACAAAAAAACCCAAACAAACAGACAGACAGACAGACAGACAGACAGACAGACAGACATGCAAACAAACAAACAAACATATAAAATAAAAACTAAAAACAAAACACAATAAAACAAACAAACAAAAAAGAAAAAACTAAACTGGGATATAACAGACAATTTATCGTCCCTTTTCATTAAAAAAATAGGAATTCTTTCTTTACTGTTGTTCTTCCAGTTGTTGATTTTTTTTAGCTGTGTTCATTCATTCTTATTTTTACTACTATAACTCTTTCCTTATACCGTCAGATACACAAAGCAGAGAGCAGTCGACACCACGATCCTCTGTCCCTGACCACTTTCTCTAGCTTTGACACATCCAAGCCCAGGGTGATTGCCTCACCTAAGATCTTACTCCTACTGCTATAAATGCCAATTAGTCTTCCTCTTCTCCCTGTCTGTATTTGGCTCTCAGTACTAAGCATTTCTGAGAGGAAAATCTTTTCTCTTGCATTCTCAAAGTAAACCCCAAATATCTCCATCATCTCTTCTTTAAGATCGCATTGATAATAGCTTCAATCTTATCTCTGTCCAACACTTCATAATTTGCGATAGACTGGTCACTCCATTTTATTATTCATTCTTTCATTCTGTTTATTTTCAGTAACAAGCCATGTCAAGAGCAGTGTCCAGACGAGGTCGGATGAGACCCGATGATGAGCATCGACTCCAGGTCAACCTGCTCTACGTGGAGCGGGAAGTGGACGGAGCAGACCTAGCACCTGCTCTTTTTGCGGCAAAGGTCCGTTCTGATGTCGTAACACGGTCATGTAGCCTACACACGTCCGTATTTAGTTTGTAGTCTTCGTCCTTTTCTGTACAATTTTTATGTTGTATTCTATAACTCGATACATAAAATGAATGTGTCATATTATATATTTTGCACAAATACAAACATACTTAAGCCTAAATGCATAACACACACACACACAAACACACACACACACACACA